GTTTTTTTTTTTTTTTTTTTAAACGTTTAAGACAGGGTCTTGCTAAGTCACCAGGTTGGGCTTGAACTTGGGATCCTCCTGCCTCAGCCTCCCAAAGTGCTGGCATTACAGGCATGTGCCACTATACCTGGCTTTGGGTCATTTTGTTTGTTTGTTTTTGTTTATTTTGAGACAGGGTCTCTGTAGTTCACGCTGGTCTTGAACTCATGGCAATCCTCCTGCCTCAGCCTCCCAAGTGCTGGCATTACAGCCACGTGCCACCATGCCCAGCAGGGTCAGTGTTTGAGTTTCCCTAAAGTCTAATTTTACTTCCTCTTAACTCTAGATTTTCAGGACTCACCTTTATGGCTTACTTCATGCAAATGACTTAGTATGTGTTCATAGGCTGGATTCTCAGTCTCACCTACCTGGAGAGGATGAAAGGAGTAAGATATTCATGGACAGGATGGGTTGCTGCAGCCCAGCCATCTTGGGAGGATGCCGGCCACGAAATAGGCCCAGGTAATGCAGAGGAAGTGGAGCGAGCTGGGAAGGACTGGAGGTCACTGACCTCGATTAGAACGCCCAGGACAGCCAGGCCCAGCGGCCTGTGGGCGGCCTCGTTCAGGCTGCTATAGGAATCCGAGTCATAATGAACGATGTGGAGCTGAGGGAAAGCAGGGGGAGTGGAGGCATTTAATGTTTCCTCGCCCCACCAAGGCCTTGACCCAAGCACCATCGTGACCCCAGCACGCTGTAACTGTCTCCCAAAGCTGGGTCTTATCACCCCAGGGTGACTTAGCAGTGTCCGACTCTTCCTTTGCCCGGCTCCAGCCACCCCTGTGTTGTCTTTGTGTCCTGGTCTGAGCTCTTTGTGCCCCGGTACCTCTGCAGCTGTGGCTTCGCTGTTGATCTGGTGCTCTGACCCCCCTGGGGATCCTTTCTGCCCCCAGTGCAGGTGGAGCTGGGCAGCTACATATTTCCGGGGCAGTCCGCCCAGCTCCAGGGTGGGGGGCAGAGAGAGCTGCACTGCGAGGAAAAGAGCAAGCAGAGGTTGGTTGGGGGAGGTGGGCCAACTCCACCTGCAGTTGCCCCTGTTCTTGGGAAGCTTGCCCCCCACCTCCCTCCTTCCTTCCCCAGTGGCACCCAGCTCCTCCGGTGCTTCTGTGCCTTCCTCGCCTCTTTTCGGTGGTGAAGTCAGTATTACGACACTAGCTGTCCTGTTGAGCTCGGTCCCCTGGCTGTGGGAGCCCTGATGCCCATTCTCGCGTCTTCAGGTTGGTGGACGGAGCTTTCTAAGACTCCGCAGGTTTTGAGAATATCTTTCCCCTGACTCCTAAGGTTTGGACTAGAGTCTACAGCTCCTCGGAGCCTGGGCTTTTACCTGTGTGGCCGTTATTATGCAGGTCCAAAGGCTCCACGCCAGGCTGCTCATATCCATGCAGCCGCAGAGCAGGCAGCTCAGGGTCGAACGTCACACAGTCCGTCTGGATGTCAATGGGGGACTGGGCGCTGCTTCCACACTCGGGGTAAGAGTCTGGCCAGTGGTCCTGACCGTGTGGGCCTGGTGGGGGTTACCACAGATATGTGTCCTGCCCTTAAGCCTCGGCCACCCTTCTGCACCCCTAGCGAGTACGCCGTCTGTGTAGAAGTGGAAACACACTCTGTCCACCCAGCTAGGCAGGGCTGGATGAAGTCGGACCCACGGACCTCATGTTGTGATTCCTCCCCTGGCTACACAGGGAGGCAGGGCTGGCTCCCAGCTACCCTGGCAAGTGGCAGTGATGGCCCTTTCACTCGCCTGTAGTTTGAGGACCAGAAAGCTGAATGAGGGAGGGAGGAGATAGGTAGAAAGCCTGAGTACCCAGAGAGGTAAGATTAGAGAGTAGGAGTACTAAAAAGAGAAATCAGTGGTCCTAGAGAGGTAGGGTCTCCTTGGGGCTCCCTGTCAACTGGTGCTGCAATTCAGGCGCCCTGACTTTCTGTCATTGGCGTCCTGCTCTCCCACTGGACCTTGCATTGGCTCTGGAGTTCAGTTTAGTCATTAATCAGAAGCTCAAAGGGATGGAGTTCCACCTCCCCCAAGGTCACAGACTGTCCCTCCAGTCTCTTCCTCACTCCTGACCTCAAGCCCTGTCCCCACTCCAGGCGTGGTTAGGCATCGGGATGATTAGGATGGAGAAGGCGGAAGAGGGCAGCTAAGGCCAGAGTTCATCTCCCCACCCAGTTTCCTTTCCACTCCACTCCCTCACTCCCACGTGGGACTTACTGGGGACTCAGCTGGCTTTATGCTGAATCAGGAGGTGTGGGATTTAATGATTAGAACAGGGTCTAGGAGTCACAGAGGCAGAACTCGGCACAGGGAGCCAGTGAAGGGAGGGGCCAGGGATCCAAGCTAAAGGAAACCTTTCCACCCACAGGGTGAGCCAAGCAAGGCACTGCAGGGATAGGGTTTCGGCAGGACTGCTCTCGTCTCACCTTCGTAGGTCCAGTGGTGACCTGCAGGGCAGAGGAGTTTGGGTTACCGCCCGGGCCGGCCCTGCCTCCCCCTGCTCCTCCCTCCACTCCGGCACTTCCCCAAGGAAGCCCTGAAACTGGACACCTCGGCAGAAAGGTCGGGGGCCCGAGTTAAAATCACCAGCCAGGCAGTGCTGGTGCTCACTGAGTAAAGGGGGAGGAGGAACGAAGAGATAAAGCCCGAGACTAAAATTAACCTGGACCCAAGTGTGGGTTTGCCCAGCTCTTAACTTTTCTCCACCCTGGGCCAAGTCACTGGCACTTGGAAGCGTGGGGTGGGTGCGTGGGGTGAGATGTGGGCAGCAGGCTCGAGAGAAAGGGACCAGAAGGAGGAGGGAAAGAAGCCGAGCGCCCGGAGTGGAAGACTGCTACTGAGGGACCGAGGGCATTGGTTATTCCTGTGCCTGGGAGCTCTGCTGGAAGGAGAGCACTGAGCTGTAAATGAATATTTCAGCCCTTCCTTTCTGCTCCCAAGAGCGCTAGAGGAAACTGCCCATGGGGGGTCCACGCTAGGTTGAGGGTGGGGGTGGGGACGGGCAGCCGGGCTGGCAGGGGCAGGAAGAAAGTGGAGCATTGTGTGAGGGAAGGAGAGCTGCCAGCTGGGTCACATGCTGGACTCACGCCGTCCCGTCTCTGGCTGAAATGCCGGGGGTCGGCCGGTCCGGGCCCCACCTAGGCCCAAGCTGCTTCAGGGAGAGGAGGGTCCACGCTAGGTTGAGGGTGGGGGTGGGGACGGGCAGCCGGGCTGGCAGGGGCAGGAAGAAAGTGGAGCATTGTGTGAGGGAAGGAGAGCTGCCAGCTGGGTCACATGCTGGACTCACGCCGTCCCGTCTCTGGCTGAAATGCCGGGGGTCGGCCGGTCCGGGCCCCACCTAGGCCCAAGCTGCTTCAGGGAGAGGAGAGGATGTTCACTGTGATATTTAAATTGCCAAAAACGTTGGAAAGAAGTCCTAAATTTCTTTCCCTGTCTCGGTCATTCCCTCCAATCCCTTAGACCTGTAAGACGTCTTGGATCCCACCCTTGCTCCGCTCCTCAGCTCAGACAACTCTTGGAAGCGGCCTCCTTTACCAGCTTGGTCCCCTCCCTCCCAGCTCTAGACCCAGTTCTGGGAAGGTGCCCTTCTCCTGAGATCCGTGACATGCTGAGTCTACAGCTTTTCCTCCTCTTTCCTGTCCTTTCTCCTCAGATGAAATCTGTGGCTCTGTTTGGCTGTCCCCGTCATCCTTTTGCACCCTCTGCTCTCTAGACACCGTGTCCCCCTGTTCTTCCAAGAAATGAATTCCACACCTACTATGCACTACTGTAGATACTGCACCAGACACAGGAAATGCCACTTTTGTGTTTCCTGTGAGGTGCAGTGGTCTCTGGGGATGCTTCTGTACACCTTGGCCTGTCTCCCAAGAATCCCCCATCTCCTGGGAGCTCCTGGGAGTCCCGCGTAAGCTGTGAGGGGCCAAACAAAGGTTGAGCATTATTGCTGTTGCTTGGAGGGGAAAATTGGGAAATGAGTCGCTCCACAGAGTTGAGGGGCCTCTGCTGTGAGGTGTTCCCAGGGCGGGGCAGTTGTGGTGGAGAATTGCCCCTCCCCAGCCACCAGTCCTGGATCCCTTCACTCTTTGGCTCCTTAATCACAGACTTCATAAATAAAGAAAGCCAGGAGGGTGGCCTGGGACGGGAGCTTTGAGTGAGCAAGGCTCGAAAGGTAAAAGAGGAGGCGAAGGTCTCCGCCATACTTTCCCCCATCCAGAGCCCGAGTCCAGCCCGAGGCTTTCCTCTACCCGCCCTCTCCAGGCACACATGGCGACATGTGGACATTAGCCCAGACGGACACACAGACATCCAGTTGTACCTACCCCCATCGGCAGCCAGGATCCCAGTCACCTCTAGCAGGAGGGCGAAGAACAACATGGTATCTCCTCTGAGGGACACGGGGACCCGAGTTTGGGGACCAGAGAACTAGGGCAGGGAGAGGGAGTGAGGAGAGAGGGAGAGGTTCCTGGCCGTAGGTGTGTTAATCTCTTTTCCTCCTCCTACCTCTGTCCCTGCAGAATGTGATTTTCAATTGGGTACCGTGGGTTCCTGGGACCCAGGATAAATCTCTCGTCTCTCTCCCTCTCCCTCTCTCTCCCTCTGTCCCCTCTCTTTATCTACCTCTGCAGGCTCCACTCCTCCGGCTGGCCCACGGCTTCACAATTGCCTCCGGCTTTTAAGGTGGCTCTGGACGGGTGCACGGGAGTGGGGGCTGGGCTGCCGGCGGGCAGCGCCTTAAATAGCCGGTCAGGTCGCGGGGTGGCCCTGCCAGGAGCTGCGCGAGCTGCT